GTGGTGTTTCTAGATGCATCCTTCTTGATTGGTGCGGATCCTTTCGGCTCTATGTCCTTATGCACATCTATAACACAACAAGAATGAACATCATTAGTATTCTTAATGGATTCAGAAACTTTAAAGTTAATCGTATCACCACCAAACTCCATAGTTAAGGCTCCCTTGGCCACATCAATCTTGGTGTGGGCTGTTTTCATGAAAGGTCGTCCAAGTAAGAGTGGCGATGGTGGAGAGTGGGTTGAATCCTCCATGTCAAGCACATAGAAATCTGCAGGAAAAATCAAGTGTTCTACCTGCACCAAAACATCTTCCAAGACTCCTCTCGGGTATGCATTAGATCAATCAGCTAATTGTATAACAACACCATCATTTTTAAGCTCTCCTAGATTCATAGATGCATAAACAGAGTATGGCATGACATTAATTGATGCACCTAAATCTAGCATAGCATGTTCGAACTTTGTATTTCCAGTTACACAAGGGATAGTGAAACTACCTGGATCTTTGCATTTGGGAGGTAGTTTGCGTTGCAAGATGGCAGAGACATTCTCACTTACATGAACCACCTCTTTTTCCCGAATCCGTTTCCTTGTTGTACAAATCTTCTTCAAAAACTTCGCATACTTCGGAATTTGTTTTATTGCATCAAGGAGCGGAATATTGACATGCACCTTCCTAAACGTCTCCAAGATGTCTTTTTCATCCTCCTCCTTCTTTGTTTGCAAAAATCTGCTAGGAAAAGGAACATTGGGTGGAACAAAGTTAGAATTAATCAATCTTGACCCCAACTTACCTTTGGTGGCCGAGTGGGATGAGTTGGGTGCATTAATGTCCCTAGATAGTTGCGGCAAGGGTGTTTGTACCCTTGCCGTGGGCTTGCTTGCATCCTCCTCTTCATTTTTCAGCTTTTCATCCTCTTCTTCGCTTGATTTTGGTGGTTGTGGGGTGGTTCCAACTTCCTTGCCACTTCTCAAGGTAATTGCGTTGGCGGTTTCAAAGCCTCCCTTTGGATTTGGAATGGTTGAGCTAGGGAGCTTGCCTTGGTCTCGAAATTGCCCTACAAACTTCGCAATTTGGCCAATTTGTTTTTCCAATTGATCCACCCTCTTTTCTTGATTCTGCATCGCTTTGGCTTGATTTTCTTGCCCCTGAGACAAATTCGTTAGTAACTTCAGAAGTGTATCATTATCTAAGGTGTTACCTGAATTTGTTTGGGCAGATTGTGGAGATGCTTGTGTGGGTGCGAATGGCTTGGTGAAGAAGCCCGGAGGTTGTTGCCTAAAGCCCCCTTGTTGTGGTGGTTGTTGGGGCTCTCTCCATTTGAAGTTTGGGTGGTCTCTCCAACCCGGATTGTAAGTGTTCGAGTACGGGTCGTTCCTTGGTTGGTTCTGGCCCTGAAATCCAATGGCGTTGGCGCTTTCCCATCCACCATTTTCTATGAGCTGTGGGCACTTCTCAGAAGCATGTCCTTGGATCGAACACACCCCGCATACAATCGGTCCTTGCATCCTCATGCCTTCGGCCATCTGAGACACAATGGAGGTAAGATTATCTAACTGTGAATGAATATCAGGTGCGGAACTTACCTCATGAACCTGCTGCCGTGGGGGTCCTCTTTGTCCCACTCCTTCATATTGTTGAGCGTTCAACGCTCGGTTCGCGATCAAGACCTTGGCCGCCATGGGCGTCTTGTCCACCAGTGCTCCACCCGCCGATGCGTCGAGCATTTGTCGTTCAATTGGTAGGAGCCCCTCGTAGAAGTATTGCAAAAGCAACTCCTCCTTCATCTGATGCTGTGGACAAGAAGCAACAAGAGATTTAAAACGTTCATAGTACGTAGGAAAAGACTCACCATCTTCTTGCTGGATTCCACTTATCCTTTTTCGTAAAAGGATGATTCGAGAAGTTGGGAAAAACTTCTCCAGAAAGGCCCTCTTCATGCTCTCCCACGATGTGACGGTTCCGGGAGCTAAATCGTACAACCAATCCTTGGCTTTGTCCATCAAAGAAAATGGAAAAGCCTTCATCTTCAATATACTTCCGTCAACGTTGACGGGAGTCATGCTTGAGCACACCACCTCAAATTCCTTTAGATGCTTGTTCGGATCCTCCATGGACAACCCATGGTACTTCGGAATATGGTGGAGCAAGCTTGACTTCAACTCGAACTCCTCGGTCTTCCCTTCAGCAGGTGGGGGATATTGGATGCACAAGGGTGCTGCATTAGCCAATCCCGAAGCGGAAAGTTCCTTAAGTGTCCGGTTGTCTACGGCCATAACTTGTGGTTCTTCAAATATCCCTGCCGTGGGTTCCTCCTCCTCTTCTAGGACTTGTTCTTCAATCTCAGGTTCCGGGCTTGGCGGATTTGATTCGTGATGCTTCTTCCTTCGTCTCAAAGTTCTCTCAAAATCGCTGTCAAAGTCCAAAATATCTTCACGAATCGATTGAGAACTCCGAGTCATGCACTAGTACCTAAAACAAGAAAAACAAAACAAGGTCAGATTCTTTAACAAAATAACTAAATAAACAGAAAGTAAACAATCCAAGGGATTAGCAAAGTCTAATCCCCGGCAACGGCACCAAAAATTTGATGCGAACTAAGTAAGCACACAAATTAAAACCCTCTTGTCACAATTGTAGTATATGAATAAGTAGGGATCGTTCTTAACCGGGGATTAGGAGGGATTGCAAAATCACTTGGAAACTGACTCAAAAACGTAAAATAAAGTTTAACACACTAAACTAGACTCAAAGAATGCAAAACTAAACAATAAAACACTAAAACAAATCAAAAGACTCAAAACAGCCCCAAAACACTCAAAACTGCCTTAAAATCACTTTCTGGGCAGTTTTGAGCACTTTGGTAACTTTGGACGAAATTGGGTGATAGAATGAATCAAAATGCTTAAAAACACAAACTAAGATACTTTCTAACTAAATTGGACACTAAAGTAAAGGGGGATTGAGTTTTTGACGAAATTAATTAAAATGCACAGATTGTAAATTAGGGCAGATTCTAAATATGAATGTGATGAAAATATGGATGAATGCTAGCTAGAAGGTTCTTCTCCACACATGTCACACTTGCATACACTTTGATTTTCAGTTGGTCTTTCGATGAATTATGAAACTCAACACTCCGGGTTAATTAGGTCCGCTTAAATTAACCGTCAAGTTCTCCTTAAGTTAATGAATTGGATGGGTTAGCGCAACGCAATTCAAACCATTCTCCAAAAGTCCTTTACGTGAAAAGCACAATAAAGATACAATCAAAGATCATTAAGCATCATGAAAACTATAAGTGTTGACGAGGCATTCGTTACTATGATGAGCATGAAACTAGTGCCAAGAATTCATTTAACGCGATTGTTTATAAGCAACCTCCACTACTTGTGAATATAAGTTCATAACTATTAGGTGAAACTCACTTATATTCTAGCGTCAAATTCATGCATGGACATTAAGCGTGCACTCTCAATAAACATACACAAACAAGTTATCAATCAAACAGTTAAACGAATTGAATCCAATATTCATGGAATTCCAACCAAAAGTAATCAATTCATATTGCAAGCATAAACATGGTTTCGAATCACCCCCTAGCTAACTAGGGGGATTTAGCCTCTCATGTTCACAAAAAGAGAATTACAAATGAATTTAAACATAAAGCACAAAGGATTGATTACACCTAGAACGCCCAACGAATCCACGTGAATTGGTGTGCGTCGAAGCTCCTCTTTCCTCTTCTCCTTGCTGCGGCAGATTGGTTGTGGGTGGTTTTTGGATGTGTTTCTGGTTTGGGAATGGATTTAGGGAGGTTTTGTGGTGCGGCAATGGTGGTGGAAGATGTAGGGAGGTGTGTAAGGTGGTGGAGAGTGGTGGAGAGGCTGCGGCAAAGCTTGGAAGTGGCTGGAATGGAGGGAGAGATGCACGGGTTTTTGGGTTGAATGGGCGAGATTCTGTGATGGTGGCTACGGTTTTGGAGAGAATTTTAGGGTTATGGTGGCTGATTAATGTATGAATGGGAGAGAATTAGGGTGAATGAATGGGGGTCACGGCTTAAGGAGGAATGGGGTCTATGATGCACGGATTGGGGAGTAATGGGAGAGAATGGTGGCTGATGAAAAATATGAATGAAATTGGGGTGTTAAGGTGGCTGATGAGAATATGAATGAATGGTGTAGGCTCTAGGGTTAAGAACAAGGTACGGCTGAGATGGATTCTTGGGTTATTAGTGTGAAAATCAATGGGAAGCTTGCGGATGGAAGAATGAATTAGGGTGAATGGTTTTTTAGATGGGATTTGCGGCTGAAATTGTGTGGCTGAATAATTGGAACCACTAGGGTGCGGCTAGGTTTAGTTTAGGAGAGAATTAGGATGAGAATCTGAATGGGAGAATGATAAGTGACGGCTAGGGTGAAATGAAAGGGCAAGGTGGCTGCAAGGTTAGAGGGCTAGGGTTTAGAAACATGGATTTGGGCCTAAATGCCCCCCCTTGCACGGCAAGGATAGGGAATTGGGCTAAGGCCCACGGCTTAGGGCTAGAATTTGGGCTAGGGCCTTCATTTTGTGTCCTAAAGTGCCTACAAGGACTTCAAAGTGGCTAGAAAATATGGACGTTTAAGATTAGGAAAGGTTACCAAAACAGGAAACTTAGGGTTAACTTTCCTAAAATAGGAAACCTTGTTTGAGTAGGATTCCTCGTTTTGGTAAGAATTCATCGTTGGAGTAGGAATTCGTCGTTTCTTCAAGTCTTCAACTCATTCATTCCTCTTTCGCTCCAAAAGACTCCAATTTGCATCTTCTTGCACACTTTGGCCTTATAATCTGAAAATACACAAAAGTGGCCTTAAACACTAAAACAACTAAGTAAACACAACATAAATGCATGAGAACAAGCTAATTAAGTCGCATGAATATGCTCCTATCAACTTCCCATTGCCGTTCCTAGATCAAATGTTGGAAAGGTTAGCGGGTCATTCATTTTATTGTTTTCTTGATGGATACTCTGGGTATAATCAAATTGTTATTGCACCGGATGATCAAGAAAAGACTACTTTTACATGCCCCTTTGGTACATTTGCTTATCGTCGCATGCCATTTGGTTTATGTAATGCACCTACTACATTTCAAAGATGCATGATGAGCATATTTTCAGATTATGTTGAGAAAATTATTGAGGTTTTTATGGATGATTTCAGTGTTTTTGGTAATTCATTTGATGGTTGTTTGAGTAATCTTAGTTTGATTTTGAACCGTTGTGTTGAAACAAATCTTGTGCTTAATTGGGAAAAATGTCACTTCATGGTTAAACAAGGTATTGTTCTAGGACATATTATTTCTGAAAAAGGCATTGAAGTAGATAAATCTAAGGTAGACCTTGTTCGTCACTTACCCTCTCCAACTTCGGTTAGAGAGGTTCGTTCGTTTCTTGGTCATGCAGGTTTTTATAGGCGGTTCATAAAGGATTTCTCAAAGATTGCACAGCCACTATGCCGATTGCTGCAAAAAGAGGTGGCGTTTGAGTTTGATGATGCATGCTCCACGGCATTCAAGCACCTCAAGGAGGCTCTTACTTCGGCTCCCATTATTACACCTCCAGATTGTAGCCTTCCATTCGAGTTGATGTGCGAAGCTTCGGACTATGCGATTGGTGCTGTTTTGGGGCAGCGAAAGGACAAACAACCTCATGTTATTTATTATGCATCTAGAACATTAAATGATGCTCAATTAAATTACTCAACCACTGAAAAAGAATTACTTGCTGTGGTATTTGCATTAGATAAGTTTCGGTCATACTTACTTGGGACTAAAGTTATTATTTTTATTGATCATGCAGCTCTCAAGTATTTGCTCACGAAAAAGGAGGCCAAGCCTAGACTAATTCGATGGCTTTTGCTCTTACAAGAGTTTGACATTGAGATTCGGGACAAGAAGGGCGTGGAGAATGTGGTGGCTGACCACCTAAGTCGGATGATACATGAGGAAGCAACGCCAATTTCTGAAACCTTTCCCGATGAGCAATTAATGTCTATCCAGGTAAGTGAGCCTTGGTATGCTGATTTGGTTAATTTTCTGGTGTCTAAGCAAGTTCCTAACACCTTAAGCAAGGCTCAACGTGATAAATTAAAAAAGGATGCACGTTTTTATGTTTGGGACGACCCTTATTTGTGGAAAATATGCCCGGATCAAGTTGTGCGTCGTTGTGTTCATGAATCTGAATTTAATTCCATTTTGAGTTTTTGCCATACATATGCATGTGGTGGACACTTTGGCACACAACGCACAGCGTTTAAGGTTCTTGAGAGTGGTTTTTATTGGCCTACGTTGTTTAGAGATGCTAGGGCTTTTTGCTTAACATGTGATAGATGTCAAAAGACCAGAAGTATAGGCCAAAGAGACCAAATGCCGCAAACCCCAATCCTTGTTGTTGAAATCTTTGATGTATGGGGTATTGATTTTATGGGTCCGTTCCCTATGTCTTTTGGTTTTACGTACATTTTACTTGCCGTTGATTATGTGTCGAAGTGGGTGGAAGCTAAAGCCACCCGAACTAACGATTCTAGAGTTGTTGCAGATTTTGTAAAATCTAACATTTTCTCGAGATTTGGGATGCCTCGAGTGCTCATAAGCGATGGTGGGTCACATTTTTGCAACCGCACCATTGCGGCGTTGCTGAAGAAGTACAACGTGTTGCATAAGGTTTCCACACCTTATCACCCTCAAACCAGTGGCCAAGCCGAAGTGTTAAATCGAGAAATCAAGCAAATTCTGGAAAAGACCGTTGGGCCAAATAGAAAAGATTGGAGCTTGCGTTTGGAAGATGCACTGTGGGCTTATCGAACGGCTTACAAAACGCCCATTGGTATGTCCCCGTTTCGGTTAGTCTATGGCAAGCCGTGCCATTTACCCGTAGAGCTTGAGCATAAGGCACATTGGGCGGTCAAGACTTTCAATATGGATGTGGACGCGGCTGGAAATCATAGGAAGCTACAATTGAGCGAGCTTGAAGAGATTAGGCATGAGGCGTATGAGAATGCTTGGATTTACAAGGAGAAGACTAAGGCCGTTCATGACAAGATGATTAGAGGCAAAACCTTCTCAATCGGGCAGAAAGTGTTGCTATTCAATTCCCGTCTTCGATTATTCCCCGATAAGTTACGTTCTAAGTGGGTTGGTCCATTTGTTATCACTAATGTTTTTGTGCATGGTGCAGTCCAAATACAAAGTTTGAAAACTGGACAAGAATTCAAGGTGAATGGCCATAGGTTGAAACCCTACTACGAGAACTTTGTCGAGCATGTTGTGGAGGAGATCCCATTGCATGCCGTGGGCTCCAATGGGGAATGAGCTGAATCTCGTCCGCCTGGAAGACGTTAAAGCAAGCGCTACTTGGGAGGCAACCCATGCAATCAACAAAGGAAGAACTTGGGAATCGCTCCACACTCAGATTTGCGTCCCTAAACCCTTCCCTTTGTTGCTTACTTTATGTTTTGTGTAATGTTTTTAATTGTGTCTAAAACATTGAGGACAATGTTTAGTTTAAGTGTGGGGGGGTAACATTCTGTTTTGAGACTGTGTGCATGAAATTCGTAGGGTATTACCACCTAACATGTTTAAACTTGTTCTTCGCTGTTTTTAATTGTTTTTAAGCTATTTTAGAGTGTTTTAGTGTGTGTTGACTTAAAAATCCGAAAATACCATAAAAATTTGAAAAATTGTTTTGAAAAACCCAAAAAGAGTTGTTTTTGTGTGTTTGTTTGTGTCGTAGGTCACCTTCCAACGCAATGATGAGGATTTGGTTTTTAATTGCATGATGGTTAAAGAAAGTTACAAACATGGATGGACGTTGGATATACTCTTTGGTTTATGCTTGATTGTAGTTATAGTTTACGAATTCACATGTAATCACAAATGATAAAAATCAGTTTTTGTAACATGCTTGAAGGAAGGAACTTAAACAAACGCTACATCCCGGTGAGACTTGAGCCTAAACGTTATTTGGAGAGTTAAAATCTGTGCATTATTGTTTTCTAAAGTCGTTGCATGATCTCATTACTCTTTGCCTGGTTACTACTTAGAAGGCGTTTCATCACTTAGTTCCACATGCTAGAACTCATGCCCATTTCATTCAAAGCATGTTATTGATTTGCATAACACATATTCAAGATGAAGTTGTGTAGTGACCACCACAAAAGCCAAATAGCCGTGCGCCCTTCACTCATTTTGTGTTTAAGTTTAACCCCATTGAGCCGTGCTAGCCCATATTCTTTGTTAACCCGCATTATCCTCACCTAGCCTAGATTAGGACCATCCTTACCCTTGTTCTTGAAGCATAGTAAGCAATGAATTCCTTTGGATTAATGTGTTGCAGGAAATAAGTGTGGGGGAAGAATGTTGGATGTGAGTTTATGTGCCATAGGCACGATTGATAAAACAATAAAAAAAAAAAATAAGAATTGAAATGTATTGGTTGTTGAAGTAAGGGCCCAAAACAATGAATTAGGCCCTAAGAGTTGTTTGAATCTCCACTATTGTTTAAAAGTTGATTTCTGCATTCTAAGGGAATTCTGATGCTAACTAAGTAAGCACACAAATTAAAACCCTCTTGTGACAATTGTAGTATATGAATAAGTAGGGATCGTTCTTAACCGGGGATTAGGAGGGATTGCAAAATCACTTGAATACTGACTCAAAAATGTAAAATGAAGTTTGAAACACTAAACTAGACTCAAAGTATGCAAAACTAACAATAAAAACACTCAAACAAATCAAAAGACTCAAAACAGCCCCAAAACACTCAAAACTGCCTTAAAATCACTTTCTGGGCAGTTTTGAGCACTTTGACAACTTTGGACGAAATTGGGTAATAGAATGAATCAAAATGCTTAAAAACACAAACTAAGACACTTTCTAACTAAATTGGACACTAAAGTAAAGGGGGATTGAGTTTTTGACGAAAATAATTAAAATGCACAGATTGTAAATTAGGCAGATTCTAAATATGAATTGGATGAAATTATGGATGAATGCTAGCTAGAAGGTTCTTCTCTCCACACATGTCACACTTGCATACACTTTGATTTTCAGTTGGTCTTTCGATAAATTATGAAACTCAACACTCCGGGTTAATTAGGTCCGCTTAAATTAACCGTCAAGTTCTCCTTAAGTTAATGAATTGGATGGGTTAGCGCAACGCAATTCAAAACATTCTCCAAGAGTCCTTTACGTGAAAAGCACAATAAAGATACAATCAAAGATCATTAAACATCATGAAAACTATAAGTGTTGACGAGGCATTCGTTACTATGATGAGCATGAAACTAGTGCCAAGAATTCATTTAACGCGATTGTTTATAAGCAACCTCCACTACTTGTGAATATAAGTTCATAACTATTAGGTGAAACTCACTTATATTCTAGCGTCAAATTCATGCATGAACATTAAGCGTGCACTCTCAATAAACATACACAAACAAGTTATCAATCACACAGTTAAACGAATTGAATCAATCATTCATGAAATTCCAACCAAAAGTAATCAATTCATATTGCAAGCATAAACATGGTTTCGAATCACCCCCAAGCTAACTAGGGGGATTTAGCCTCTCATGGTCACAAAAAGAGAATTACAATTGAATTTAAACATAAAGCACAAAGGAATGATTACACCTAGAACGCCCAACGAATCCACGTGAATTGGTGCGCGTCGAAGCTCCTCTTTCCTCTTCTCCTTTTGCGGCAGATTGGTTTTAGGATGATTTTGGGTGAATTTCTGGGTTATAGATAGGTTTAGGGCTGTTTGGTGGTGCGGCCAGGTGGTGGAGTGATGGAGGAAGGGTTTTATGGTGGTGCTATGGTGGAGAAGGCGGCTGGAATGGAAAGAATCTGAGAAGGTGGCTGCAGCTTTGGAATAGAATGGGAGAGAATGGAGGGAATGGTGGCTGGTTGTTGTATGAAATTCTGTGTTAGGGTTAGGGTAGTGCACGGATTAGAGGGGATTAGGGTGTGAAGGTGGCTGATTGGAATTAAGATGAATGGAAAATTAGGTGAATCAATGGGGGTCACGGATTGAAGGGTTGAGAATGGGTGGGTGGCTGCGGCTTGAATGTATGGAAGATGTGTGATGCACGGGTTATGGAGCAAAATGAATGATGGCTGAATGAAATTAAGGTTATGGAATGCACGGCTTGAATGAATTTTGAAGGAGAGGTGCGGCTGCAAGGTTGTATAACTAGGGTTTATTTGGGTGAATGGCTGAGATGGATTTTTGATGAATCAAAGGCCACGGATTCAAGGGAAATTGTGGAAGGGTGCGGCTAGGGTTAGGACAATGTATGATTTCAGAAAACTAACCCTAGCTTATTTAAAATTAAATCAAAGGCTCACAAAATTCTAAAATTAAAACAGACATTAAAAAGGGAATTCACTAAAAGGTGCGGCTAGGGTTGATTTGAGAGGGAAATAGGTTTAAGTCTCAGAAATAGAAGGGAAAGTGGCTGCAAGGAAATTAGGGTGATTAGGGTTTAGGGTTTAATGCATGAAATGAGACCAAAGTACCCCCCCTTGCACGGCAAGGGAAGGAAAGAAAGGGAAAGGCACGGCTTAGGCTAGAATTTGGGCTAGGGCCTTCGTTTTGTGTCCTAAAGTGCCTACAAGGACTTCAAAGTGGCTAGAAAATACGGACGTTTAAGATTAGGAAAGGTTACCAAAACGGGAAACTTAGGGTTAACTTTCCTAAAATAGGAAACCTTGTTTGAGTAGGATTCCTCGTTTTGGTAAGAATTCATCGTTGGAGTAGGAATTCGTCGTTTCTTCACGTCTTCAACTCATTCATTCCTCTTTTGCCCCAAAAAGCTCCAATTTGCATCTTC